TGTAATTGTTTTTGTAGTTTTCATGCGAAATAAATAACTTTTTTTTAATTCATACTTATTTCCCTGTGGTTCCACCATGGAACCACCTCCAAACTCCAAAAAGTTGTCATAAAAAAATATTATTTCCAATTTTTGGTGTTAAATTTTACGATAAATAACACAATTTTTGTTGAGAAATACATTTTAATGCAAATAGCATAATTCGAGCTGCAAGGGGATAGTATATATATTTTCGCTTTCTTTGTTTAGCGGCTTGTTCGCTTTTAACTTTCTTCTCTAGGGTAACTTCTCGTTTATATTGATCACGAAGTGATTTCCACTTAGTCTGAAGTTCCTTTCCTAAAACAAAAAATATTGTTTCAGATATTTAGCAACCGGATCGAACTTTTCTGCTTTGGAGTATTACTTTCATGCGGCAAAGTCAACCATTGGACAAATAGTAAAAGAAACTTGCTTGGCTATATGGGAGACATTACAACCGTTAGAAATGCCTATACCAACTAAAGATAAATGGATAGAAATATCAAACAAAATGTTCACAAGGTCCAATTTTCCGCACTGCTTGGGCGTAAACACCTTCGTATGATGTGTCCCAAGAATACCGGAAGTGAATACTTTAAGTACAAAAATTTTTATTTCATCGTCCTATTGACCATCGCAGATTCAGAATATTGTTTCACAGCTGTAGATGTATGGTCTTACGGAAGAGAATCTGACAGTAAAATATTGAAAAGTTTAGCTTTTCGACAACTTTTGGATAGTAATAAACTTAACATACCTTTACCCCAACCACTTTCATATACTGATAGTCTCGATTATCCTTTTGTATTTGTTGGTGACGAAGCTTTCGGATTAAACACTAATTTATTACGGCCATATCCAAGACGAAATCTCAGCGATAGTGAGCGAGTTTTTAACTGCAGTATTGTTCTAAAGCTATTTTCTTGTGGCATTGTAAATTAATTACTATTAAACTGGGAATAAGCCACAATTAAAGATAAAAATACGTTTATTGACGTTTCAATTTCCACTTCGGAAATCGTTCTCAAAATACAAACAGTAAATTGAGTAAATTTAATTGTGGCTTATTCCCAGTTTAATAGTAATTAATTTTTAACTGCAGGTTAACAAGAGCAAGAAGATTTGTATAATGTACTTTTGGTTTATTAACCAGCAAGTGGCAGATATTTCTTACACCTATTTTACTTGAACCTGACTTTACAGCATTCCTTACAAAAACCGCCTGTGTCCTTCATAACTTCGTACGAAGAAGAGACGGTTTTGATTTTAATGATACCCTAACAGATCCACTACAAGATATATCGGCCTTAGGAACTGGGGGACGATTATCGAGAATTTCAGTCAGAAATCAATCTAAATCTTATTTTGTAAGCAAAGAAGGAGAATTGGCATGGCAATATGATAAAATATAAAATTCAAGTAAAAAATACCTACCATAAAAGCAATTTTTTTTAATTGCATATTGTAGTTAAAAAAAAAAGTAAAAAAACTCACCTAACTTATTTTTTTCGTCTGAGGATAAATCGTTCCAGTTTTTAACCATTTTATTTGCAATTTCACTCCACAAAGTGGCCTTTATATCCCTATTAGAATATTCCTTTAAATGTAAATTGTAAAGCGCAGGGCGACTTTCAATTTCACTGATAAATTTTTCTGTATCAAACATATTTAATTTGAAAAATTATTTTTTGTTGTGTCTGTACCTCTGGCGTGACAAACGTCTCGTCTACTTGAGCACATAAGAAACAATGAGTTGCATGCTAGTCCGTTTCTCTCGCCGCGTGGACAACGCAGCAGATTGCGATTGACTGACGTAGGATTGCAAGAGCAACGCTCATGTATTACCGTCCATTGAAATGCACGGTTCCTCTGGCAACGTAGAATACGCTGCGTATCTCTCGCAGCGTATCTTACGCCCGTCTATTACCTAGATAGATAACTCAAAATCACAAAATTGTAAGTTACCTAGTTTTAGTATTAATGAGACGATTTGTAATGTGACCATTTCTTTCAGCAGTTTAAGCTTCATCATCTTCAGCCATATTGTGTATTTAAAAGTCATCTGGCATATTACGCTTTTTAGATCTCCTATGTTAATGTGTTATTTTTTAGCATTCTAATTTAGAAAAAATTAGGAAATATATAGGATTTTTTTATTAACAATAATAGAATCAGATTTCGCTAGTTGTGGACATACATTTTATTTTTATTAAAGGAACAGAAGTACGTGCATCTTATAGAATAATAATTTTTAGTATCTCAAATGCGTATTGGTCGTACCATCATTCTTGATCCTGATAAATTATATTCTTTTCCGCGAAAACTACTCCACATAATGCCATGATATTTAAGCGACGAAAGCAATACAAGATTTTGGTATTTACCATTGAGGCAGCTGTCGTGACAATTTCTATACCACCATGCCCCTTCTGTAACATACAAATTATGACATAAACGTATGTGATATATATATATATATATATATATATATATATATATATATATATATATATACAAGAAATACTGGATATTAGTGACTGTCGGTATAAACAAACAACACAGTTTATTAGGGTTGCACTAAGAATATTGGCCGGGATGTTAAAAAAACACTCTTTTGACTTTTTGTCAAGCTTTCGGAATGGTTTTATTCCTTTTTCAAGACACTGTAAAAGACAATTATGTAAATATTTAAAACATATCACAATTCTTCAGTGTAACTTACTAGTCGTTGAGATTATTTTTGTAATCATTGACACTCAACATTTATACCACACATTAAAATATACAATTATGGACATAATACATCAGTGTAACTTTCTTCAGTGTAACTTACTAGTCGTTGAGATTATTTTTGTAAGCATTGACACTCAACATTTATACCACACATTAAAATATACATCATAAAATTTTTAAAATTTGTTGTAAAAATAGTAAAACTTGATTGATGGCATGTTTTACTGGTGTATATTAACTCATACAGAGAATGGAAAGAAAAAACAGTGTAATTAATATGTAATTAGGTGTAGTTGATGTTATCTTTCTTTACAAGAAATACTAGAGGCCCTTCTTAGGTGACTATACTTTTTTAAACCTGTCTTAAGGGTATGCAACATATTCTACAGAGGTGTAATTTTTGTACAGGTAAATATTTATTTTATTTTTTGTGTTTTTCTAGTAAATAACAATAAATGTTACTTAATTTGTCTATGTCGGACTTTTTGTTGATGCAAGATGTGCTAGATTTTATGAAACACATTTCCAAAAAAACACGTTTTGAATGGTTCAAAAGAGTGTTTTTTTAACATCCCGGCCAATATTCTGACTGCAACCCTAATAAACTGTGTTGTTTGTTTATACCGACAGTCACTAATATCCAGTATTTCTTGTATTTACATGATGGGGTTTTTTGAGAACATCAGGAGAGGATATGGTTCTGCTAGCGTAGATTTCCTAAAACAATGGGCCAATTTCAACATCAAGCTTGCATCACTCAACAACAGAAGAATTTTCCTTCTGAAATGTAGAAAAAATCTTTGTTTTCCTTCACACATAGAGAATGGAAAGTTTAACATCAATAACTTGTTACATCATAAAGGAGGTAAATTAGGTAGTAAAATTCAAAACTTCAATTCAAATTTAAAAACCAAAGTCTTAAATTTAGAAATCTCTGTAATAATAAATAAAGGAATTACATACACAGAAAAGAAGTTACATCAACTAAAAAATACATTAGAGCAGCATTTACCTGCTACTTTACTACAAGAATTCTATAGAAGGCAAAAAATTAAATACAATAAAATTTTCTTTCGAATTAAAAATAATAACATCAAAAAATTTAACAAAATAAAAGTTGATCAATTTTCAAAAATAACATTTCAAGAAAAATGGTTCAAAAATCTAACTGACATCACTTTTCCATACAATGTGAGAAAACTTTTGTCTTTGGGTCCAAAATTTTGCCTGTTTCCCAGTGCTAGAGATTTTAAAATGTCTTCTCTTCTGCCAGATATTGAGTTTCTTATTTCTGGTCTAGAACCTCAAGAGAAAGATATTGTGAGATCTCAAAGCACTAATGTTATAACTAACTTTTTACACAAAACAAGTAAAGAAGGACATTTTTTTAACACAATATATAATGAGTGTAAACAATTTTTGAAATCATATCCAGACATTTACACTGTTTGTTAGAAGTGACAAAGGTAATGTAACTGTGGCAATGTATAAAAATGATTACATTGAAAAAAGTAATAGTTTATTAAATGACACAAAAAGTTACATAAAACTTAAGAACAGTCCGGTGTGCACCCTCCAACAAAAGGCGAACAAGCTGGTTTCAGATTTAGCTGCTTCTAAATCCATAACAACAGAAGTTTCAAAATCCTTGAAAATTTACAATGCAGTTGCACCCAGGTTTTATACACTGCCTAAAGTTCATAAGCCCACATTGATGCTCCTAATAGTAAACTTGCTAAACACCTTACAGATATTCTCACAATTTCCTACAACGAATCCAATGAATTCTATATTAGAGATTCTTTTTCATTTAGTAACTTCATTTACAATGTTAAAGTTCCAAATAATTATATATTGATTAGTTTAGATGTTGTGTCACTGTTTACAAACTTACCACTAGATGCTACTCTTAACAGCATTAAAAATAGCTGGAACAACATCTCTCCACATACTAAGATCAGTTTAGATGATTTCATAAGAATATTAACATTTATAGTTGATTCTAACATCTTTGTATTCAATGGTAATTTTTTTAAACAAATTTTTGGCACTCCCAGTTGCCAGCACTCCCCAGCCTGCCATGGGCAGTAAAATATCCCCCATACTATGTAATTTTGTTTTGGATGAACTTATAACAACGTGTAAAGAAAACATACCTTTTCACATACCATTTATTAAACGTTATGTAGATGATTTGATTCTATTGGTCCCTGAAAACAAAGTAACTGATGTTTTAAACACTTTTAATGCCCAATGTGAATACCTAAAGTTTACGGTTGAGAGAGAGGCTGATAATATGATTCCTTTTTTAGACATGCTAATCCATCGTGACAATGATCGCATGTTAAAGACGGAGTGGTATCGTAAACCTTGTTTCAGTAATCGTGTCATAAACTTTTATTCTCAACATCCATCTAAGATGAAAACAAAATTTGGTTTTGGCTTTAAAAACTAGGGTTATCAATTTGTCACACATAGAATTCAGAGACAGGGACTAAAAAAGTTGAGATCCATACTACAAGAGAATTCTTATCCCATAGGGCTGTTAAATAAACTCATTTTCGGTTCTCCTTTTCCTTCACAAGTTTCTGTCAACCAGAATTTTCATAACAATGAGATCCGACAATTGACATTGACACATAACGCATTAATATTACCATCTAAAATACCTTATGGTTGCCTACCCTACATTCCATTTTTGACACCTAAGCTAATGAACATCTTTAAAAATGTTAGTGGCTTAAAAATTACAACCAAAAATGTGAAAACAGTATCGAAGCTTTACACAAAAACAAAAGATCCTTTCACAATAGAGGAGTCATCGAATGTTGTTTATTCTATACCGTGTAGCAACTGTAATAAAATTTACATAGGAGAATCATCTCGTAATTTTCACAGCAGGGTGATATCACATCGCAGTGATATAAAAACCAAAAAAATCAATGCATGTGCATTGACAGAACATGCACTAACTCTAAAACATGAGTTCAATTTCGATGATTCCTGTATTTTGGCAAAAGAAAAGAACCATTCAAAACGTGTTTTTTTGGAAATGTGTTTCATAAAATCTAGCACATCTTGCATCAACAAAAAGTCCGACATAGACAAATTAAGTAACATTTATTGTTATTTACTAGAAAAACACCAAAAATAAAATAAATATTTACCTGTACAAAAATTACACCTCTGTAGAATATGTTGCATACCATTAAGGCAGGTTTAAAAAAGTATAGTCACCTAAGAAGGGCCTCTAGTATTTCTTGTAAAAAAAGATAACATCAACTACACCTAATTAAATATTAATTACACTATTTTTTCTTTCCATTCTCTGTATGAGTTAATATACACCAGTAAAACATGCCATCAATCAAGTTTTACTATTTTTACAACAAATTTTAAAAATTTTATGATGTATTATGTCCATAATTGTATATTTTAATGTGTGGTATAAATGTTGCGTGTCAATGCTTACAAAAATAATCTCAACGACTAGTAAGTTACACTGAAGAATTGTGATATTTTTTAAATATTCACATAATTGTCTTTTACAGTGTCTTGAAAAAGGAATAAAACCATTCCGAAAGCTTGACAAAAAGTCAAAAGAGTGTTTTTTTAACATCCCGGCCAATATTCTGACTGCAACCCTAATAAACTGTGTTGTTTGTATATATCGCACCCTCAGTAATATAGAGGCACAATTCAAAAAAGTAGATTTGTGGGAAATCGCGTTTAAAGATTCTGGTATCCGACATTACAGCTATTTTTTCAAATATCGTGCTTATTATTTAAGTTATAAATATGAAATTTGGCAGATTTGTTATTTGATAACTGCACTAAAAATTACAATGAGGAAAAAATAATAATATAAATAAATTCTATTAATTACAAGGAATGGAAAAAACTACTTTCGAGTTAGTCCCGTATAGTATAAAAAACCATAACAGAAATAAGGAACTATTAAAGTTTGATCCCGTATATTATTAGTGTACCTGCCACTGTTTAATTTTTAATCGTAAATGGTACTCTATATCACCAATTTCAACCGATGTTTGAATTTATTGTTTCTGTTTTATAAATAAAATATCAGGTAAAATAATAGTAATACTTTATTAATCAGTGCAAAATATAACAATAATCTAAAAAAAATTCAAAACAAGAGTTAAACATAATAAGATAGCTTTAATATTATCACATTTATTATTTAAACTTTTTAATTCCAAATAAAACTTACAAGTAGTAACTCCTCAATTTTTACATTGTCGTTTACTTATTACTTAATTGTATATCACAATATCTCCACAGTAAACTTAAAAAATTATACATAACAAAAAAACATTCATTCCTCCATTCTAAACTTAGAAAACTACAAATAACAAAAAAATTCATTCTAAAAAATAAAGTCTTCAAAAATAAAATTCAGTCTCAAAACTTAATTATTGTACTTTGACTATGTACTCAGTCTACACAAAATAATGTTGAAATCCCAAAGATTAGTAATATTAAGACAACATGTTGTTATAAGACGCATAGTATGGATCTATGAATTAAGATCCTTAAGATCATTCTTTTTAGCACAACGAAGTGGAAGTGCCTAGAGGTACGCTTTCTGCATGGTTATTTCTTTAATATTTGGCATTCTCTTCCTCTTATCACGAACATTAACTATTTTAAACTCATCGTTATATGAGCACTTGTAATAAAACGAAAATGGGTCTTCTTTGGTAAATTTCAGTACTTTAATACTATTCCATACAAGATTATTTTTCTGTTCATCTGTATTAAAATTATAGCCCCAATTTTCTTGTAATTTCTGAATATCGTAAAAAACATTGTAAGTTAAACTGTGAACTATAAATGGAGCACCAGTTTTCCTTGCTCTTTTGATTGCTGAGATTTATTGAACAGGAGAGTATATTGGGCCAGTTTTCCTATCTCTAGCTATCTGCTTTTGTATCAAACTATGCACGTTATCAGCTTCGTTCTGAGTGTGTCCTTTTATGAGATATTTGTGAGTTATCGACGACAAATTTTTTAGATTGGCAACAGCGTATAAGTATAAGCATGTGAGATATTTATTTTTGTTTTGCCCACAACAGTTATCGGAAAAAAATGTTATATTTACTTCCCTGTCACCAGCTTTATCAGATACAATCTGTAAATAATGGAAAACACAGCTCCCTATCTCTGTAGCGCCTCTTTTCGCTTGAGTCTCGTCCCAAAAATAACAATGGACATTTTCATAGCCTTTAGAGATGTCCATTGTTGACACATCGTTTTCGTGAATTTTTTTTAATTCCGTCATAGTGAAATTGTAACTATTTAATTTAGATTTGTAGTAGAATGCTGATGTTTCACCATTAGGACTTTGCATAATGGCTTGTACATCGTAACATACACAAATATTGCACTCATCAATGTTCTGTCTGTCATTCTTTTTTTCCTCCCTGCATAACTTCTTTTCTTCCAAATGCGTATGATATTGATCCCTAAGATTCTGTTTTAGTGGTTCAGTAGGATTTTGGAACTGCAGGCAAAGATCGCATTGATCTTTTTTGGGTTGATAAAAGCCAAGGTTAAATTTTGTGTTAAAAATTTTATAAAACGTGTGATATAGTCCAGCTGGGCGAGACCTTTCCTCTTGCAGTACTTCAAAATCTCTAAAGAGCTCTGCAATACTTTTACCACTGCTGATGTACTCTCTAGAGGTAGATGCTCTTAGATAATGTGACTCAATAGGGGTATAGGGTATAGGGGTATAGGGTTGATGAAGTTGGTGATGTCATTTATAAGCTCATCACTTACACTTTTATTACTATTGTGTTTGCCGCGTTGGTCATCCTTTATGAAGCCCAGTTTTTCTATTATCTTCATGTACATTTCGAATCATCTTATGAGAAATATCAATAGTATTAATAAAAAAGCTTTTGCATACCCTAACTCTTTCGTTGTCTACGGAAAAATAGAATGCATGGTTTGGATTTCGTGGTTTTTCGGCATTGGTATACTTGTACCTAGGTGTAATCTGTGCGCTATTAGACAAAACATACATTCCTTGTAATTATCTATCCCCTAATGCCCAAAATGCACTAAATAATTTCAACCTTTTGAGATCATCGATTCGCTCACTGCATTTGAATCTACATTTTTGGACACAAGGTGGTTTCATATTACGTGCAGGAACCAATTTCTTAGAATGTATAGCTACATAGCTTTGACCCAAGTTTCGTTTCATTTTTTGCGTGTTTTGTATCTATTTGGTTGGATCTGCTTTACGTTTTCTGGATTGTCTTTGAATGTTATCATTTGTCATAGTTACATTTTTTGTATCAATCGAAGTTAGAGTTGCTGTGATTCGTGGACGTCGACGAAAATGTTCTTGTTTGTAAGTGGGATCGTCATCACTGAAGTCTACGTCGCTTTCCTCTGAATGTATTGAAGACAATATGTAATTACCTACTGTTCTTGATCTAACTGATGGCAACTCATCGCATCTCGATAAGGATGGCATGGAAATATTGGCTTTAGACGTACCTTGCTGAGGAACGAACTCGGATTATATAATAAAATAAAATGTAAAAATTTTACACTATAAACAATGCATTGGATCTATGTAATAAACACTGTTTTAAAACTACAACTTAATTATTTTTCTGTTAATTTAATCGGATCAATTAAAAAAATAGTTAAAATTTTCATGTAAATTAGGGCCAATTACAAAGTTCGCCATCAACAATAAAACAATTTACGTACTATAATGAACCAATAAGATATGATTCCGTATAACATCTCTACTTTTTGGCAATATAGCGAGCTATTATGAATTAGACCCAATTATTAATTACATTTTACATAATATAAGGGCTAAACTAAAAATTGTTCTATATAATACAAAATGTTAAGATACAAACTAACCAGGAGTTTTGTCATAGAAGGGCACAAACACGAATCGCACGACGTTTGAACAGTCCGCCTTTGACGACTATGGACACGTTACTGATTGTTACCTTGTAGCAGTAAAAACAATAGGTTGGCGGGGAGAGTAAGAGAGAGGCACAAATATATTTACCGAGCAACTAATGTCCTATTTCTATCTCTGTCAGCGCTAACCGGTAGAGAATTTAATTTTGTGCCCATAGCATTTAAAATCTCAATTTACCAAAATTTTGAGTTGATCCCTTATATTACTGAGGGTGCGATATATATATATATATATATATATATATATATATATATATATATATATATATATATGTATATATATATGTATATGTATATATATATATATATATATATATATATATATATATATATATATATATATATATATATATATACAAGTAATAACTGCCTTCACTGACTTTCAACTCACCGAACATTATTGCACAACTTCCAGAAGGGTTTTGGTCTTGGTCAACATCTGAAGTGGAGAATTGTGAATTTAAATGTTCTATAAGTGAGTCACCAGCAGTACCCGAATATCCACTTAGTACATTTAACCTGTATCCATCCTTCTCACCAGTTATGGCAAAAGAACCATAGTGGGCATATCCAGTTTTATTTATTCCGTCAGTAACCTCTACTAAAAGTTCGCTTGGTTCGAATGCTACAAAATTAAATTAATAATTAGGTATTTGTTGTTAACACATTCACATGACAAAAATGTCAATGGATGTTATTTACTATGTCTAATGCAAATTTCAGTTTTAAATATGGTTATTTTTTAAAGTTTCAATTGTTTACTTCAAAAATAATTTTCAAAATTCACATTAAATTTCACATTTCATTTTAAATTGCTAGAGGTCTGTTTGTGTTTTATTTTGCCCATTTGAGAAGATTCATGTAAGTATCCCTTTGTTTCATTTTTTTGTAGTTGCCCCAATTCTACCCCCTTGCCATTTACTTATCCACAACCCCAGCTCTCCCAACAAACCCTGAGTACCGTTCGCATGAATTTCGTTTATTTTGCTGGCCCTACCTCCACCCCCATAGTTTGTGTCCCCAAATTTTCAACGCCTATAGTAATACCCTATGTGGTAGGCAAAATATATACGTTACAAATTAAGTTGTAACGCGTCCGTTACTTAAATAACCGTTTACATTTTTGTGACTGGAGTCTTTTAATTTAACTTTAAATTAAATTCATATTTGAAATATTGTTAAACTGAATATATTTAAATAACTTCCAGTAAATTTTATTCTCTAAGGTTGGCATTAAATCGCGCCACCTGGTGTAAGATTCTGAAAGTACATCCACTTGACGGCTGTTGAACCTTAACAGAGCACTTGTTGACTGGATTTGATGGAAGGAAGATCGTTCGATCGATCATAGTGGCGGCTGGGAGGTGCCATTTTTCAGGAATTTAGTTTAAGTTTATTTTTTTTTTATGAAGAGCTGTTGATTTAAAAGCAACAATTTAAGTTATTTTGGGTGTTTTGTACGAGGATACTTTCAGTTGGATCACACCAGCCGCCTACTTCCGGAATCCAGTCACAGGTCAGGGAAGATACCTTTAGTTTTTGGGTTATATTTATTAAGGAGAAGGGGAAGAAATTTTAAGTTTAGGGGTTTTATATGGCGATTTAAGAAGAATTTTTTATTACATGGAATCCAGGCTTGGTGTACCTGTACCCACCTGAATCTAGTTCTTCACCGGATCATCTTCCAGATCAACCGACGGAAACCGGCAGGAAGAACTTATTTTTATTTTTTTTGCTTCTCATTCCAGTATTTTGTATAACTTTTGCAACATCCTCTTCAAGGTTTTAACTTTTGCTTCACTTTAATTTCAATATATATCATTAATAATAATTACATTAACTTTTTCATAAAATATTAATCATTGTAACTTAATTTCAATTATTTATTGTCTACCAAGGGATGAGGTTTTAACTCTCCCTTGAATCTCTCTTTGTTAGATTATCGTGTGCACACATATCCGGAGAGTTTCATTTGAAAATTTAAACATTTAATTAACGAAAACTAAATTATTAGTGAGTAGTATTTTTTATATTTATTATTTATACATAATTATTGAGTATAACCTTTGTCAGAATTTAAAATTAAGAGGTATATTAGGGAAGAAATTGTTTTATAATTATATTCAGGGATTTTATTGTAAATATAGATAAGTTAATTGTACATAAGAGGTGGTGGGTCATAGATAAGTATTTAACATAGTCTGTACATAAGTTTTGGGTAATTATTAAAGTTGTGGTTAAAAATTTTATATTTCAATTAGTACCCAACTTTTTATATTTCAGCAATACAAGATATCTCGGAAGAAAACATTTAACTTCCTGGCGCCCAAACATTCAGTAGAGCAACTTTATCTTTCATCTGTTTATTTCCTGGTAGTTACTTGTCATTAATTCATACATCTTACGGTCTCTGTAGGGCATTCAAATTGGCCGAATCCCTCTTTGAGTGTCAAGTGGTCATTCTCCTGCATAGTCGCTAGCCAGCATTAATTTTATTATATTTTAAAATTCATATTTACCCTTTATTTATTTTTTTCACATAATTTATTTCTATCTAATCCCTTTCATCTTCTGTTATTCCACATATTAGTTCGTTGGTGTATCAAGGTACATTTTAGAGTTTACCCTATTGCTACACTGCACATTTTTGCTACACATTCCTCATTTTTGTTACATTTCCCTACTCCCACATTTCCTGTTACATTGTTTCACCAGAAACAAATTCCATTCTTGCTATAAAGTCCCTTTTAATGTAGATAAGACAGTAGTATTAACCTATAAAGGAGCTCTTCAACCTTTGCTTCTTAATAAAAGCCAGATCAGTATAGTTGATTCTGTAAAATTTCTAGGTATTTTTATAGACAACAACCTTAAATGGTCCTTTCATATTGACTTGTTAAGTAATTAAGTAAGAAACTAGCCTCAGCCTGCTATGCAAGATCTGTTTCGAAGGAAAGAATTTAGCATCTTCAAAAATAACATATTTTTCTTATGTATGTCTGATGTTATTTTTAAATTACAAAAGGAGCAATTTGGTATATTTTTTTACTCGGGAATTTAACTCACGATTAAAAATCACGGGATTTTAACTTTTCTCCCTCTATAATATATTCAAAAAACTGTTTTTTTATGATTATTCACTTTCATATACAGGACTAACACATTCGTGACAAATATTGAGTAAGTATTCAAAAAATAAAAACTTTTTGTATTTCACACAGGAAAATCATGTTGGTCGTTTTTTTTAAGATCACAATACACACATTGGCCACGTTTATTATTAGTAATATTAGAGGTCGGAGGTCTTTCTATCGGTGTGCATGATTTGGGCGCTAAATTTAAAATTCGACACTGAAAAATAAAATTACCTATTTCTGCATACATGATTTGGACGCTGGGTGTAATTGAAATGTAAATGGAAAGTCAGGTAATAAATCTCTAGAGATTAAGCTTGATAACGTTTATTTGTCACTTTGACATAAATACGACATACATTTTACGAAATGGAATCGATCGATATAGTTAGTTTGATACTCATGTATCCTATTTCTAACGAACATAATTTTTTTTCTACTTTTAGGATCTTTAAGTCTATCACTTTCACTATTACAGACACTATTAATTTTAATGTAAGTTTCAGTTTGAAAATTTTTTAAAACATGAAAAATATTTGGATGAGCATTGTAAAAATTATCATTGGAAAAGATATCGAACGAAGTATTGAAGTTCGGTTCGGTTCGTAATGCCCCTTTGTCCGCTTTTCGTCGATCGATGCTGATAGGTATAATAAAAGGTTGAAGTTGCGGAGTTAAAGTGATGATTTATTGACAGCAACTCGTAATTACACAATATGGTGTTCGTTCGGTAACTACTCAATATTGACAGTGTTCATTTGAACTCAAATCCCCAATTTATAATCTCACACATAATAGATACATAAGCACCTTAGGTCATTGCTTCGTTCATATCACACCACCTAGCTTTTGCTTATAATACAATTTAATCTACGCCTTAATTGCGACACTTAGGTAGTTCAATTAGAAAAGATTATTATTCGGCAATTTATTTAGTTGTAGGTAAATGAACTAATATTAAATTATCATACGATATGCTTTTGCAATATATATATAATGCAAACTTATACACGGTGAAACTATAAAAGATTAAGAAGTTAAGAATAATGTGAGATTACAAATTAAGGGGTTAATTTGTGATTGAACAATCATTAAAACGCGAGTAGAACGATTCACAAGCATTAGTTGTTAATTGTAAACTCTCACTCATCGCAGCCCACATCTCCGACGGAAATGTTGCGTGGTCGTTAATGTAGTTGTCCAATAAGTAGACGGAAAACTTTTCAATTTTTGAATCCTTTGGTTGATTAGCCATAAAATCATATATGAAAGATTCTTCGACTTCTGAGGGAGGTAAAAATGGCAGCCCAAAAATATATTTCAGCCATGTAGATATTTCACTGTCTGCCAATTTATATTTCCGAATTAAGCCACAACCACCGATATTACGATACCAAGCTTGCATAAGATGAAAACGGCACCCTTTAATGTGCACATTTTTAAATTCAAAACGCGCAGCATTGTGGATAGCAATTTCAAAATCGGAGAAAATGAGTTTTGGATTGAATTTTAGACCAATTACTTCAGATTTGCGTTTCAAAACATTAAATAGTTTTATATGGGTTTGTTCCGATTTGTCGGAAAGTAAACAATAACACAATGGTATATAATGTCCATTGATAAATACATGTATCGTAGAAAATTGCTTGAAATATTGAGCACAGTAACTAAATGTACCGTCCATATAAATCGTTTCACTGCCGCACAGAAAACGCATGTTAGTGTTACACGAGAAGATGATAATGTTAGAACTTAGTTCAACCGCAAATATAAAATTCTCGTCTTTAAGTGTTTTGATATTCATAATATTTGCCGCAGCAATAGTTTCTTCTTTACTTTTGGGCAGTTTCGGTTGAGCCATGCGCCGTTCACTGTATATTTGATTTCGTATTAAATAAACGTCTTTAACAGACATGTGGCTTAAGTAATCTACATTAACTTTCAACGCACTATGTATGATTTTGGACGGCCTTTCGGTGAAATTATCCTTAGCCTTCCTTTTGGCACTGCTACGCACAATCTGTCTATTAAGCGTCTTGATATCACACTTGTGATTATGTTCTAGATTACTTCGGATCACTAACTTTTCTGGCCTTTTCGTGATATCTTCGCTTTACACGACCGTTTTACGCTCCTTCAATACGTTTCTCCCGATTTTAGTACTTTATCTTGAGAAAAAGTAAAACTGTTCACTTTGAGCAAAATTTTACCACGATTACTTACTAACGTTGAAATTTCCATGTTCACTTTTCACTATTCTCTGACAAACTAATAACTAGTAACTAAGTAAATCTCAATGACCATCATTAAACCCTAATTATATCTAATATCTGGTACCTGCGATAATCCTTTCGGCAGCGTCCAAAACAAGGGTACTTTTAAGACCCTCAGGTACTTCAGCGTCGAAAACATGCCCGCCCGTTTCTATTTCTAGTATTTCTCGAATTCGAATTTACATACTACCTGATATATATTATGTTGGGTTACTCATCGACAAAGATGGCTGTCGATGATTTGAAACGATAATATTTGTAAAAATTGTTTTTTTTTCTCGATTCCATTGAATTATTTATGAAACGAATAACGAATATATTTATTTCAGCTACATTCAACAGTGAGTAAAAAATTACCACGGACCACCTTCTGGTATTGCGAGAAACATCATGCAGCACACAATTTGTCAACACAATCGATGCCCCCTTTTGTTGAATTTTAGTCCATAATTAAATCTGATTTATTATTTGTTTTCCTATCGACGCTGGTATTATAATAAATACTTGATAGAAAAAGAGAATTTTTACACGGCATGAGAGTGGCATTTTTCTTGCCATTTCTAACAATATTCTGCAGTATGAGAAAATTTATGTAGCACTATTCTTTTTTGTGTTTTCTACCTGCACCTATAAAAGTTAAATTAAAATTTTTGTGTTAATTTTCGAGCAGTTCCAAACTTGTGACCAGCTCTGAACTGTAATATTTCTGCCAGTCCCTTTTATTGACATGACCAATTTCTGAACAACATCTTTGCAGTTAGCGAATTGCTCACATCGGTCTGTCAATCAAATACATAAACCTCCATGTCAGCTGTGTAAAATGTTTTCGAATTCGTCATTGGAAATATTTTGATTCCGTATTTTGCGGATTTGCTTGGTATATAGTATCAAAAACTGCATTTCCCTCGAAATGATTTGAGCTTTTCGCCAATAGTAATATATTCAAAAGGTGAATTATGAGTTTTACAATTTCATGTTATTTTAAAAAATATTTTACTGAAAATTGCTGTCCCAGATATAATATAAAATAATTATGTAAAATTATATCATCTTACCTGTCATCTGATAGATATTCTCAAGTCCTAGCCAAAACTCTCTCTCTAGATGCCCAAACCCAAATTTGTAGTCCCTCCAAAGTTTATCAAAATCTTGGGATCCATCATATCTTTTCTGAATATGAGTCCATCCTCCTCCTTGAATTACCATATCGCACAGGACAGCAAACGGTTTACTGCTAGCCCTGGGTTTGATTTTATATATTCCAGATTTAATATTTCCTAAAACATTAGAGACATAACAGATTGCTTATGTCGCTATGCACTAACTGAAGGAATACAATAACATACCAGCAAACGAATGAAAAAGATACCTGACGGAACCGTTTAAAGAAAAGGAAAATAATAATCAACACAATAACGTACCTGAAATAAGACACGAAAGAGAAATCAGTGTTTAGGAAGTAGAGATAGCCATAAATTCACTTAAAAATAGAAAGTCACCACGACTAGATGAAATAACCAACGACCTTCTAAAATACGAAGGAGAAAGTATATCCCTAGAGATGACAAAACTTATATAAAAACTAATATTGCCCTGCATCATAAAAGACGCATGGAAAAACAGTATAAGGTTCAACACAGACAGGGCGGCCTGCGCCGCGTCGGCGGCCGCGTCGTCGTTGAAAGCGGTCTCTCGTCTATGGTACTTGTGTTGTGCAACACAGACAAGCCGTCGTTTGTCAGCTCGCCGCGTTGGCCGCCGCGCGGCCTATGCTGAGTACCATGCGCCGTCGGCGATTTTATGGCTTCTGGCGGCACATCAGTAATAGATATCTCGTGCTTCAGCACAGACGTGTGATTGTTTTGCAACGGTTTTATTTGTTTACTTTTGTGAGTGGTTGCCAAATTTTCTATATATTATGGAAGCTATAGATATCGATCAATTAATTACCGGACTTCACACACGGCGAGAAATTTGGGATATGCGCTCAGATAATTATTCGAATAAAATAAAGAAAAAAAAACATACTTGGAAAGAGATTACCCACAGTTTTATTTCGGAAGATGCTTTTCTGGGTCATCTTGAATTTCGTTAACTAACGTGTAAAACGTTTCTTTATTTTTTCATTTATTTACTATAGGATGTATCCAATATCTTCGTTTCTTCTTTTTCTTTGATTTAATATGAAGTAAACTTGCACTTATTAGGAAAAACAAATCGTCGACAATTTCACTAGATGATTCTAGATACATCATTATACCATTCTACGTCAAAAACTCGACTAAATTTGACAACATTGAATACAATGGCAAAACTATTGCCACTGTTAAACTGCCTAATGTGTTTTAAGCCGCGCGGCAGCCGACGAGGCGCGGACGCGGGGCAAACCTGTCTGTATTTAACCTAATGATACCAATGTTCAAGAAAGGTGATAAAGAAGACACCAACAATTATAGAGGTACAAATCTACTGAACACACCACTTAAGCTTACTGCAAAAGCCCTAACCAACAAAATCAATATACTAACAACTTTATAAGATGAACAACAAGGATTCAGATACGGAAGATCCTGCTTCGACGCCGTAATTGTACTAAGACAAGTCACAGAAAAGGTCATCGAGTATGATAAACCAGCATATCTATGTTTTATAGACCAGACAAAGGCTTTCGACTGCATTTAAGTCGACGACGTCTTACACCTACTGTGTAAAAGAAACATATCAATCAATATTATTCAAACCATCGAAACATCCACTTTTAAGATCGAAAACAGGCCAAGATGAATGGAAAACTAACAAAGTGTGTACCAGTACAAAGAGAAGTCAAACAGGGTGACTCGTTAAGGCCACTTCTCTTTAATGTATTGTAGTCTGCTTTAATTGAATTGTTAATAGTTTATTTTTAAAAATTCTTTTTTCAAAACTACTTTGAATGTTAAAATTGCGATTTAAATTGATGTGACTCTATATATTTTTTAAGAAATTGTTTTGTACATCGTATTCTAAAAGTATGAAATACAATTATAAAAAAATAAACTTTATTTAAACTAAAAAATAGTTTTTGTTTTTTTTTAAAAATTTTCAATGATTATTTTATATATTTACATAGTAACCCTTAACATTTTTTGAAATTCTTTATTAGATTATAACTAAATTATAATTTTTTAGTGTTTTTTTTATAGAAAAATGAAAACATTTTACAACAATAATACAACTTTAATAAAACCGACAGTAGAGATTTGTTAAATTTATTTTTAGATAAATCATAATTATTTAACTCATATTTTTTTAAAAGTTCATTTTATTTACAATGAATACATCACAATGAATAACAGACGTGTTGTTCATAGTCAGGACCAAGAGATTATCTACAACATGTATTAATTTTTAAAAAAAGGGACAAGAAAAAAACAACACAAAATTGTCTATTTTGAATATGCTTGGTAAAGCCACGGGAGTTTCTAAAAGTAGCGCCCAAAGAATTATTAAAGAGAAGGACAGTGAGTTTCCGATTTTTTATCTCAGGTAGCTTTCGGGTAGCTCAGGAAACATCTTTAATACTCTCAGAAACAAAAATCAATTAGCTGAAACCAAAAACAAAAGTCAATCTTTATAAGAAACGCAGTTCATATCTTTGCAATGATTCACGGTAGGAGACATACAATATCGGCTCTTTACAACGCTGTTAATGCTGATATTAATTTCCACCAAGGAAAACTATTGTTGTTTAGAAAATTAATAAAGAAATTAAGTTTTAAATGGCATAAACCAAGGATATTCCAGCCAGAAGACCAGTTTATCTAAAAGAAATGTAGAGCAGAGGCTAATAATAATATCTATACTGATAAAACGTATTTCCACAGCAGTAATCCAACATCTTAATAATGGGATGATGGTTTAAACAACGGTTTGAACAGTTCTTTATAGGTCTGTTACCAGAGATTAGAAGTTTATTATTGTACATGCAGGAGGAGAAAAATTTTGTTCCAAATGGCTTCCTAATCTTTAAAACTAGTCAGCGTACTGGAGATTATTACAATAATATGAACCACGACAATTTTACAAAATTCAAGAAAAGTTAATTCGCAACATGCACCAGAAAATCGTGCTTGTATTGGACCATGTATCCTACCGCAACGTAGCCTGTGAACCGGCCCCTACATCTTAACAGAAAAATAAGACAAGCAGCGATAGCTTACAGAAAGATACATTTCTATTGAAAGGACCGATATAAAATCAGATCTTTATGCAAAAATCATCGTCTATGCGTTTTAGTTTGGTTAGTATAATCCCAGTTCTAGTACCTTTACGTGAATTTTGACGCTGCCTCACGCAGTTCTATGGTAACAGTACATACAAGTATTCTACTTACCGTTTTTTTGTATTTCTCTACAACTTCTAGGATATGTATTGAGGACCTCAGCAGATTTTGTCGATGGAAATAAAAAACATAAAGATGGTTTGCTGGTACCGATAAAATTTTTACACCCTTCCGGAATAGAATTCCTTTCATTGCGATATAGTAAATCCGTTTTAGAGTCTCCTACAAAACAAATCTCGTAAGAATTAATATAGCGTTTTACTCTTAATATATAACACATTTATTTTTAAAACAATGTTAATTATATTCTAGTCTAGACAATGGACGTAAGAGTTTCAAGTTTTGATCCTTGAGATCTTCCTTGCAGGGCGTGGTGACACTCTAAATACTTTAAGCTGGCTACGATTCTGTACCATATGAACGTCTTGGTGTAGGTATTTTTCCACCACAGTCTTCATTTGGTCTGACCATCGGGCTGAAGATCTTTCTATTGATCTTCGGCCTTTTACCTTTCCTTCTACTACCGTTCTTACACCCAAGTTCAAAGTTTATAGGAACTAGAGTATAATAAAATTATAGAATTTAAGAATTTAAATTTATTTAATAATTTTGAAGGAATATTATATGGCGCCACGAATCAAAATTTACAAAAAGATGATTGTTTTAAAGGCAAAATTCGCATTACTGAGCTTAGTAAATAAACATTTAACAAGAGTACATGGGTTTCAGAGGCGATGATGAGCGATGAGTTTATTTAACATTTTTAAAACTTGTCGCAATAACATTTCTTCGCATTCTCTAAGGGTTTTTTTGGAAAACTTTTGAGTCACGTTATAATTTATTTTAAATTTGTTTGTTTTGTTTATACGTGTTTGTAATTATATCTACATATATAATTTATGTGTTTTTATTTAAGAATATATAAAAAATATATTGATTATAAAATCTGTGTGTCGGAGGTAAACTACACTATGTCAACTTAGTGTAATATTGAGATCTTGACATAGTGTTACGTAATTTTAAATTCTCTTTCTAAAGGTATAATCCACTATGTCCTAGCTCGACTATAAATGCATTATTCTGGAGGATATATTACACTATGTATAGAGGTATATATCACCAACAGTACTTGGTGTTGTTTTCCTATTAAGATTGTCACATTTCCTTTGCACTATGTGGACATAGTGTAGTATTCCTCTGGGTATAACATAAGATTCATTGTGTTTAGAAACATGATCGGTGTTATTTTTGGCAACTATGGCAAGTTTGTCATGGTATTCGAGATTATCAACGTAGCCTAGCAAGTTTTTATAGTGGGTTTTATTGTTTATTTGTTTGTATTAACTGTTAGTGAATCATATTATTAGATCATGAATTCCAGAGGGAAAAAGCTGGTACAAATGGTTGTTTTTAATATGGCAAATAACGAGAATTTTAGTAAGTAAATGTGTTGCTAATAATAATAATTAAGGTTAGGTTGTAAATTTAATTTTACGAGTGAAGCACATAAGGTTACGTATGGTTGTTTTGCGACGTTGCCAGATCTTATATTCTATATTAGATACAAGAAATTTTGTTAAAGATTTTTTTTTGTTTACAGATAGCGATGTGTCGATATGTAGAGATATAGAAGATGCACCAAATTCTCAAGTGGAAAGTAATGAGGGCCATACAGGTAAACTTTCTTAATGTTTATGATCCATATCATATTTTATTTAAAAGAATATTTTTTGTTTACAGATAGCGATATGTCGATATGTAGAAATGTAGAAGATGCACTGAATTCTCAAGTGGAAAGTAATGAAAGCCATACAGGTAAACTTTCTTAACACTTATGATCCGTATCATATTTTATTTTATTTACTCCTTCAGGAGCTCCAGTAAATGAGCTGATGGTACCATCCTGTAGTCAGCGGTCCCGATGTTCTTCATTTAGCAGCAATACAGATGATTCTTTTCTTGATGAAACATATAATCCAAGTAGTATGGAAGAATCTGATTCAAGTTCAAACACAAATGGAAATCTGTACCGAAAGACGAAAAATGAAACCGCAACATTAGATTATAAAAAAGCAAATGGTAATTTAGATTCTAATAAAGGTGTTATTGGAAAACAAAAAAATACAGTTAGAAGCACGAATGTTTCAACTGAACAAGAACATGCGGATAATATTACTCAAAAGAGAAAAGTCAAAAACAAAACGGAACTTCAACAACTGGGAAAAAAGAAAGTCGTACACGTTAATAAGTGGAAGTGTAATAAACGAAAACTAAGCTACGCAGCTGGAGAAACATATGTGTCCAAAAAAGGAAAGACTGTTTCTGCAAGAGAAATGAAAGCCGTCTGTTCTTGTAGAATGAAATGCTTTGAAAAATTTACACATAGTGATAGGCTCACTATTTTTAATCACTATTGGAGCTCTACGGCTGATTATAATATCAAGCGTCAGTTTATTGTTTCTTGTGTGGAAAGTAAACCTACAGCAATAACAAGACGAAACGTCACAAAACCAAAACAAAGTACGCTGATTTATAAGTTTTTCGTCAACAATGTAGCCATTAAAGTATGTAAAACTATGTTTTTAAATACTCTGGCAATTTCAAATTCAGTTGTTATAACTGCTTTAAAGAAAAGACAACCTGGAGGAATAATTGAATCAGACCAAAGGGGACGACAAGTTCCTAGTAACAAAACATCCGAAGTTATTATCCAGAACGTTACTCAACATATACTGTCGTTTCCTTCGTACGAGAGTCATTACTGTAGAGAACAAACTGAAAGTAAATTTTTGTCTCCAGAGTTAAATATCGAGAAAATGTATCAACTTTACATAAAACATTGTAAAGAGATCAATATACCTACCTCTGCCATTGCTAAAAAATGGGTTTATACACACGTTTTTAATACACAATTTAAATTGAAATTCAAAGTTATAGAAAATGACACATGTGATACTTGTGATATGTACTGCAGCCAATTGAAAGACACCCTTTTAAGTTCAACCGACCAAGAAACCCTACAGAAAAGCTATGATGCTCACCTAGCCGATGCAAAGCAAAGATATGATTTGAAAAATGCTGATAAGGATATTGCCAAACATAATAATAAACATAAAGTATTGACTGCAGATCTGCAAAAATGTTTGCCGACACCGATGTTGACATGTGGATTAAATTTCTACAAACGGAAATTATGGACATTTGATTTCACAATTCATGAAGCTTCAGACGGAACAGCTCATTGTATGATATGGGACGAATCAAAAGCTGGCCGTGGTGGTGACGAGATAGCATCGGCCCTTCTCAAATGGGCAGAATTGGTAATTCCCAAAGCTGATGTCGAAGAAATAACCTTATGGTCAGACAATTGCTATGGGCAAAATAAGAATATTATGCTAATAGCCTGTTTATTTTGGATTTTGCATAAATGGCCACAAATTAAGATTATTAATCAAAAATTTTTGCTTAAAGGCCATACGCATATGGAGGCTGATACAATACATGCTTTAATTGAGAGAAAGCGCAAGAAAATGAATAATATGACTATCCAAACCCCTTGGGATTGGCAACAATTTATACGTGGTTGTTCACCAAAAATCTCAGTTCATAACATGGAATTAAATGACTTTAAAAAGTTTACTGATCTGTATAAAAAATCCACAGGCATTAAAGAAAATTTTAAACAGGAACAAATACCCTTGGTGTACAGAAAATTTTCGATTTCCGAATGTGTCCACATCCAGGTCCGCCAAGAAAACGTAGGAGAGCTCTATTACAAAACAGCTTTTGACGAAGAATTTAAACACCTTAGCTTAAAAAGAAGAAACGCTACATTTCCTCAATGTCTTGCCGTAAGTCGAACACAACAAAAGCCAATATCTTTTGCAAAATACAATGATTTAATGTCATTATTGCCGTTTTTATCGAGTGAATGTCATGCTTATTATAAGTCTCTGCCTAAAGCAGAGCATGCTTCCGATTTTCCAGAATGTCCAATGAATGATTAATAAATGAACTGATGACTTTAATTGTTTTTATTTCAAAACCGGAAACCCTTTAAAATATGGTTAATTACCATAACATATTACAATCGTGTCAGGAACTAAAACATTATGTCATGAACTCATGTACACGATTAGAGGTAAACAACACTATGTTTATTAAAAAAATTTTTTCATCCCTTTCTAACTTAAGTTTAACTGCAACAACACGTGCAAAAGTAGGTAATTATACTATTTGTCTTTTAATTTGCAATTTAGTGGTGATAATTAAAAAAGTCTTAATAATAATTATTATTTTCGAGGTACGGCATACCTTAAATCGCCTTTTCTCAAAACTACATTATATGACATAGTGTAGTTTACCTCCGACACACAGAAATTATATCATAATTATAAAATAAACTGATCATAAGCATTTTTATTTAAACATTTTATAATACAAAATTTGCAACAGTTACATATTATCTCCATATTCTCTAAGGGTTTTCAAAACTCTTAGAGCTCTTGTTAACGACAACGGTCAACGGGTCGTTTTTAACACCGTCCCGTTGGCCGTTGCTCAGTGTCTTTCAGGTTCGTATGAATGTTTGTTCACGCAACGGCAACCAACCCGTTGGTTAACTTTTCATCGTCTACGTATCAAGTCCCTAATTGCATGACGTTCGACGGGCCGGTACCGTGAACCCTCAGTGAACCATTTTAGTTTATGCAAGTGTGTTAACGTCGTTGGACGAGCATCCGCTGTTTCAATAAATTAATTTCTTTGTTGCCACTAAAATATGGATTTTGGTATAGAGATTTTAATAAGTTATTTCACGAATCATTTTTATTTTATATATAGATTGTATATTCTTAAATGATAAAAAATCTATTAAGTTTGTAATTTTTTTTTAGTTTTTTATAACCGAAAGTTTTTATTCTGTTATACTAATAGCATAATTCATACATAAGTAACAGCTAGTCCATCAGCAGGTGCAAGGGATAGCCTCATATTAGTGTCAGCACGTTTTAATTCATCATGTTCTATTCCTAACAATTTGCAAAAATCATAAATGTATTGCTTGTGTGAGTTCATTTCAAATAGGTAAAGAAATAATAAATAAGACTTACTCACAATCAATTTAATTTAACTATCAGACGACCGGTTTCGCTTTCTACAATATGCAAAGCATCCTCAGGTCTCGTTTAACTTTGTATCGAGACCTGAGGATGCTTTGAATATTGTAGAAAGCGAAACCGGTCGTCTGATAGTTAAATTAAATTGATTGTGAGTAAGTCTTATTTATTATTTCTTTACCAATTTGCAAAAAGTTTCTTGACCTATTCGGAAGTAATTGAAAAATTTTGTTTCGTCTTTTTTCAGTTCTTCGTAAAGTGTATGAAAAGCACCATACTTTTCTCTTTTTAACAAAATAGGATGTATTTATATTTTTAATACAAATAATAGGTTAGTATCATTTTTTTCTGGTCTTACCTTCATAGGTCTTGCCGAGAGGGACTGGATACGTAGAAGGTGAAAAGTTAACCAACGGATTGGTTGCCGTTGCGTGAACAAACATTCATACGAACCTGAAAGACACTGAGCAACGGCCAACGGGGCGGTGTCCAAAACGACCCGTTGACAGTTGTCATTAACAAGAGCTCTTAGGTCATTTTGTACGATGTTTTAAATTTTTTTGTTTGTTTTGATTCATGCGTTTAACTTTTTGTTTTTGTAAATAATTCGAATATACATACATGTCTTGTGTTTATTATAACCTTTTATTAATATTATTTTTATTCAGCATTACATAAATATATTAATTATAAAATGATTTCATTATCAGTAGTAATATCCCTAGGACATTGATAACAGACGAGATAATTTCATGACAATCGAAAGCTCGTTCCTTGGTAACAGTACCAAGCCGAAGGCTGAGTGCTGTTACCAGGCAACATGCCTGAGCAATTTGTCATGAAATTATGAGGCATTCATCAATGTCCGAGGGATATTCGGCGGATAATTTTTCGAAAAAAAAATCATAACTCAACATAACGAAACATTTATTTATTAAAAGTACAGTTAGTGAAAGTACAATTATTAAAATTTAAGTTAACATTAGATTCGTTGCTGTTCTCTACTATAGAACAATATATAAAAATATAAATATATTTGTGACTGTAGGTTGTATTTCTGGGAATTTTTTCTTTGATTAGCGCCTTTATACTTTGAACATTCTCATTGCCGAAACGTGACATTTTGAAATTTATTTGGATGAAGTTGTCAAACTCGACCGTGTTGTCATAGGGATTGAAAATTGCACTGAATGCAATTATCAGTGTAATGTTGACATGATTGGGTGCAATTGTTCCACATGACACAAAATGACGAAATTTGAATGGTTGTTAGAACAGTCGAAAAATTATCAATTAAACTGATTATAAACACTTTTATTTAACAATATATTTCTATTTTATAACACAAATTTTGTACCAATAATGTTTCATATTCTTCAAGGTTTTTAAGAACATTTGGATCATTTTGCAATATATTTTAGTTTTTAATATTTTTTTAACATACATGATTTATGTTTATTAAAATATTTTTGCAAGTAACTTACCCAAATAATTTTTCAAGGTGTTTGGCTTGACCTCGATTTTAATATCCAATGAGCTTGCTTGTAGTCCATTAATAGTATAGAAACCCTGAAATAAACATAAGTCATTTTTTTTTAATATTTTCTTGTTATCTCCTCACTGCTTCATTTATTATATTTTCCAAATACAATTGAGAATAAATAAATTTGGAATAAAATCAAATTAAAGAATTATAGAATAATTAGCTTATTATTAGTGTTGTATAAACTCTTTAAAAATGTTTGTGATTATTAGAGTCCGGATTTCTAAGCAAAATGCTTATGGTAAATAATAAAAGTTTTGTAAATAAAGCTTTTAACAAAATTTTTTATCTTCTCGAGGCTGTATCCACCAATAAAATAGTATTAATGCTTTTTTACAACTCCACCTGTGGTGACAAATAGGTGGATCGAGTTGCTCAGAAGACACAACTGCCGGTCCTAAGCCCGGGTAAAGGGGGAAAGTTGAACAGTGGGCTGCCAACCCAATTCTGAACAAAAAAACACACTGTTTGTCTCAGAATACATGACTGAACTTTCGGAAACGACTTAAGCTACGAAACATGAACTATATATTTTGGAAACTGGAATGTACGGACATGAAATAAAACAGAAGCTATAACCGTACTTCAGCAAGAACTAAAAATATATATGCTCATGATTACAGCTCTTCAGGAGACAAGATGTATGGGGAAAGCAGTCAGTGACACTAAAACACACACAATTCTATATAGTAGAAAGGAAGAAGAAAGCAAAGAATGTGGAGTTGCATTTGTGGTGGATATTGATTTTAAGTTAAAAATAATAGACTTCCGGGAAGTCAGTGAAAGGAGATGCAAGTTAAGAATTTGCACCCACTTCTGCAACCTAACAATGATAAACATTTACTGCCCAACAGAAAAACAAGAACAAAATACACAGGAAAGCTTTTACCAACATCTGGAGATAGTACAATGTGCACAAAAATGCCAATAATATTAAAATGGGTGATATGAATGCTGAAATAGGCAAGGAACCGCAGTTCTAAGCCACAACAAGAAAACACTCACTGCACAATGAAAAAAAAAAACGAGAATAAGAAGTTTTTGATAAATTTTGCCACTAGTAAAAACATGATTATAAGTTCCGCATGATTCTCACACACAGACACACACAAAATGATATGGATTTCACCAGATGGAACCACAACCAATCAAATCGACCATGTGCTGATAGACAAAAGGGCAGTCAGTAGTATCTCAGGTGTAAGAACACAACGAAAGCATGTTGTGGATCAGACCATCTTTTACTCCAAACCAAATTTAGATGCAGAATTCACAAAGGAATAATCGAAATACAACAGATAACCAACAAAACAAACCTGTATAAACCAAAGAATCAGGAATGTAAAGTTCGAAGAAGAAATCGCAAATAAGTTAAGGACGCTAGAACTGCACTCCAAAGAGTGCAAATTAAATAATATTAAAATAGTAGTACTGACAGTGGCAAAGGCCATTCTAGGAAACAAGGAAAAGGCGAGAAGAAGAGCATGGTTCGATGAGAAGTCAGACAAGCAATAGAGGAAAAGAATGAAGCAAACAAAATGTATATAACAAGAAGAACGCGGGAAAGTCAAACATCGTTTGAAGTTGGAAGACGGAAAACAGACAAGGTATGTAACAATAAAAAATAGCCTATGAAAATGGGCAAATAGAAGAAACAAAAGGAAATTTCTGAAAAAACGAAATTAAAGGGGCTTAGGAATATTTACAACAGATAAAAAGTGGGTATAAACCTCACAAAAGTCTATGCAAAAATGAAGGTGGGCAAATAATTTGTGACCAATAGAAAGTCACAGAATCCTGGAACCATTATTTTCAGACTCAACTTTGTATACAAATAGACATGGAAGATGAAATGGCAGTTGAAACAGAAAGATGTTTACGCCTGTTTTATCGACTATGAGAAAGCATTCGATATTATCAAACATGACAAACTCATAGAACTATTACATCTTACAGGACTTGACACTAAGGACATCCAGATTATAAAAAATCTATATTGGAATCAAACAGCCCACATAAAGAATGTACATATGGTGAGTAAAAAGGTAACCTTTTCGAGAGGGGTTAAACAGGGCTGTATTCTTTCTCCACTGCTTTTCAACCTGTACACGGAACAAATATTTCTAAAGGCACTGTAAAAGTACAACGAGGGCGTCAAGATTAATAGCGTACCAATAAGTAATTTTCGATATGCAGATGATACTGTTATACTAGCCGATAACATTAAGATTTACAGATGATGCTAAATAGAGTAAATACAACTGGCAACCAATTTGGACTGAAGATCAATAGAAAGAAAACTAAATTTATGGTGATCAATAAAAAGAACATTCAACATATCGACCTGAATAATGAAGCCGAACGTATTGAAAGAATACACCGATTTAAATATCTGGGATACACAGTAATTGATAAGTGGAACCCAGACGTAGAGATTAAGATCCGAATTTTAAATAGTAAGATCCAAATTTATCAAAATGAGAAAGCTCTTAAGCAACCGCAACCCTAAGCGTTAACCTCCGATGGCGCGCCACGAAATGCCACGTACTCTCTACGCTACCTTACTGAGTAGAAGGGTGGACGTTAACAGCAGCAACTATAAAGAAGTTAGCGGCTCTAGAAATGTGGCTGTATCAACGCATACTGAGAATACCTTGGACAGACAGAGTGACCAACCCAGAGGTATTAATATTGTTCTAAAGCTATTTTCTTGTGGCATTGTAAATTAATTACTATTTAACTGGGAATAAGCCACAATTAAAGATAAAAATACGTTTATTGACGTTTTAATTTCCACTTCGGAAATCGTTCTCAAAATACAAACAGTAAATTAAACAAATTTTGTTTTTTGTAACATAGTGAAAAATTCTTCTAATAATTTATTTTTATCTGACTCATTTATATTGACAATTCAGACATACATTATGCATTTTAAAGTAGACGAGTTTAAAATAATATTGCCAATATTGTTGAGTTGTGCTCCTGGGACGACTTTACTTATAAGATAGTTCATTCGATTACATGAAATCAACTTTAACTTACATAGAATATCCGTCGGAAAAAAATCATAGCATGTAATTCGTCTTTAAAAAGACAAACACACGACATGATGACAGTAAAATTTTCCTGTTAGTGATTCCATAGTAAATTATGAGGGAAAACCAGGAAAAAAACCTCATAATACTATCCCGACATTGTAAGTATTTGTTCGTGAATTTAGTTTACCTTCAACAAACATCAAAATTATTTTGATTTTATATGTTACGTTATTTAAAGAAACATAAATGATGTATCCTCTATACGTTACTGACTTACTAATACTGGTATTTTCTTATTAATATCTTCCATTTTCAATATTGGTAACCACATCCTACTACATTCTGCCAAGGAATTTGCGACACAATTGGCCTCATTTAGCATAATTAGAGCCGCTTCTTTGATTTTTCTTTTTTTACCATCCGTTTCTTTTAGGACTACATTTGAATGTATCTGTAGATCTCAAATATGTAAACACGCATGGAATAATAAACATAGGGTTCAATGGAATAATTCAAATGTAGTCCTAAAAGAAACGGATGGTAAAAAAAAAAAATCAAAGAAGCGGCTCTAATTATGCTAAATGAGGTCAATTGTGTCGCATATTCCTCGGCAGAATGTAGTAGGATCTGGTAACCAATATTGAAAAAGGAAGTTATTAATAAGAAAATACCAGTATTAGTAAGTCAGTATTATATAGAGGATACATCATTTATGTTTTTTTAAATAACGTAACATATAAAATCAGAATTTTGATGTTTGTTGAAGGTAAACTAAATTCACGAACAAATACTTACAATGTCGGGATAGTATTATGAGGTTTTTTCCTGGTTTTTCCCTCATAATTTACTATGGAATCACTAACAGGAGAATTTTACTGTCATCATGTCATGTGTTTGTCTTTTTAAAGACAAATTGCATGCTACGATTTTTTTCTGACGGATATTCTATGTAAGTTAAAGTTGATTTCATGTAATCGAATGAACTATCTTATAAAAAAAGTCGTCCCAGGAGCGCAACTCAACAATATTGGCAATATCATTTTAAAGTCGTCTACTTTAAAATGCATAATGTATGTCTGAACTGTTAATATAAATAAGTCAAATAAAATTAAATTATTAGAAGAATTTTTCACTATGTAACACAAAACAAAATTTGTTTAATTTACTGTTTGTATTTTGAGAAGAAGAATCGATAAATACACATACTTGGGTCATGAAATTAGAATAACCAGAGACAACCAAACCTGCGAGCTAAATAGACGAATCACGTTGGGATGGGCGGCATATGGACAGATGAGAGACATTTTTAAAACAAATATCCCAATTCACCTGAAAAGGAAGGCATTTAACCAATGCATCTTACCAGTCTTGACCTACGGAGCAGAGACCTTAACTTTAACGAAAGCTACTGCCGAAAAACTGAGGGTAACACAAAGGCGAATGGAGAGATCAATGCTGGGCCTGACCTTGAAAGATCGCGTAAGAAATGAGGAGATACGCCGACGAACTGGCGTAGACGATATTATACTGCGAATCAATAAACAAAAGTGGAGGTGGGCTGGACATGTTGCTAGAATGGAAGACGGAAGATGGACGAAGAGATTATTGGAGTGGAGACCAAGAGCCGACAAGCGAAGTCGAGGCAGACCACCCACCCGATGGACCGACGGCCTAAAGAGAATAGAAATAAACTGGATTGCAGCAGCTAGAGATAGAGAGAACTGGAGACGTTTGGAGGAGGCGTATATCCAACAATAGATGTGAAAATTCGGCTGGATGATGATGATGATGATGATTTTGAGAACGATTTCCGAAGTGGAAATTGAAACGTCAATAAACGTATTTTTATCTTTAATTGTGGCTTATTTCCAGTTAAATAGTAATTGACAGAGGTATTAAGACGAATGGGTAAAGAGGTGGAATTGTTAACAACTGTTAAAAAGAGGAAAACGTCATACCTGGGCCATGTGGTCGGTAATGATAAGTACGGTCTACTACAGCTTATCGTGGATGGTAAGATTGAAGGTAGAAGAGGTTTGGGCAGAAAGAAGAAATCCTGGCTGATAAACTTGAGAGAATGGTTTCAAATACCAGAAGCTGCCAACATAATACATACGGCATACAATAGAGAAACCTATCGTTTGATGGTCGCAAACCTTCGGTAGAAGACGATACATAAAGAAGAGAGATTTACCGATCCCGTACACTGAGTTAGTAAAGAAATTTATATTATACTCGGCAAAAAAATTATACAACCATCTGCCTTTGTACCTTAAAAATGAAATTTCTTTCGCTAAATTTCGTAAAATGGCAAAAGCCTATCTATCTGAAAGACCATATTATTTAGTGGATGAGTTTCTTAACAAATAACTGAGAAATTACAGTACATTTATGTAAATGTAACTAAAATATAACTCCGCCTGTGGTGACTAATGGGTGGATTGAATAGCTCAGGAGTCACCATTGCCGGTCCTAAGCCCGGGTAAAGGAGGAAGGTTGGGCAGTGGGCTAACAACCCACTCCCGGAAAAACACACTGTTATGAAACCTAAACATTTGCCTCGGAACAAGGGGAACTTTCGGAAACGACTAAAGCTACGAAACATGGACATGCATTTGGAAGTTGGAATGTGAGGACGCTAAATAGACCAGGAGCTCAAACTGCACTTCTACAAGAACTAAAAAGATATAATCTTATGATCACTGCTCTTCAGGAGACAAGATGGCTGGGGAAAGGTGTCAGGGACACCAAAACGCACACAATTCTATATAGTGGCAAAGAACAAGGAATCAAAGAATGTGGAGTTGCATTTGTAGTAGATAATGATTTTAAGTCAAAAATCATAGACTTCCAGGCAGTGAATGAAAGGATATGCAAACTAAGAATTCGCACCCACTTCTTCAACCTTACTATGATAAACATCTACTGCCCAACAGATGAACAAGAGCAACATATAAAGGAAAGCTTCTACCAACAGCTGGAGATAGTATATGACAACGCGCCAAAAAATGACATTAAGGTTATAATGGGTGATATGAATGCCAAAATAGGCAAGGAACCGCAGTTCTAGGGCACAACAGGAAAACACTCACTGCACAATGAAACAAGCGAGAATGGGGAGTTTTTGATAAATTTTGCCACCAGTAAAAACATGGTTATAAGCTCCACATGCTTCCCACATAAAGACATACACAAAATGACGTGGATCTCACCAGATGGAACCACAACCAATCAAATTGACCATGTGATGATAGACAAAAGGGCAGCCAGTAGTATCTCTGATGTGAGAACACGACGAGGAGCATGCTGTGGATCAGACCATCTTTTACTGCAAACCAAATTTAGGTGCAGAGTTAACAGAGAAAGAAACGAAAGACAACAAAGAACAAACAAACTAGACCTGGAAAAACTGAAGACTCAGGAATGTAGAGAGAAGTTCGAGCAAGAAGTCACAAATGAGCTAAGGACACAAGAACTGCACTCCATAGAGAGCAAATGGAATAATATCAAAACAGCAGTGCTGACAGCAGCAGCGTCCACCGTGGGAAACAAGAAAAAGAAGAGAAGAGGAACATGGTTTGACGACGAGTGCAGGCAAGCGATAGAAGAAAGAAACGAAGCGCACAAAATGTATATAACAAGAAGAACACGGGAAAGACGAACATCATTTGAAGTCGCAAGACGGAAAGCAGACAAGATATGCAGAAACAAAAAGAGAGCTTATGAAAATGGACAAATAGAAGAAATGGAACAAAATTTCAAAAAAAAAACGAATTTAGAGGAGCTTATGAATACTTAAAAAAGATAAAAAGTGGATATAAACCTCAAACAAGCCTATGCAAAGATGAAAGTGGGCAAATAATCAGTGACCAACAGAAAGTCACAGAAACCTGGAAGCATTATTTCCAAAACCTACTTGGAACACAAGTAGATATGGAAGATGAAATGGGTACGAACCATGTAGAAGAGAACGAAGTTGAAGTAGAAGCTCCAACCATAGAGGAAGTTCTCGAAGCTATTAAGGCCCAGAAAAACAATAAAGCCCCGGGAGTTGACGAGATTCCAGCAGAACTGTATAAGGTAGGTGGCAACCACCTATCAAGTCATATCCACGCGCTTATCAAAGAAATATGGCAAGAAGAGAAAATACCCGACGAATGGAAGAAAAGTATAGTATGCCCAATCTATAAAAAAGGAGACAAACTCCAATGCAAAAACTACCGTGGAATTTCTCTACTATGTACAACGTATAAAGTCCTCACGTATATTATAAACCAGCGACTCCAACCACTAGCAGAAAATATTATTGGAGAATATCAGACGGGCTTCAGACGGGGAAGATCGACAATGGATCAAATATTTACAGTCAAGCAGGTCTTGAGCAAATCGTGGGAACACGACATTGATGTTCACAACGTGTTTGTAGACTTCAAACAGGCATACGATTCAGTCAAAAGGGACAGACTATACTATATATTGGCAGAATTAGCAATACCACATAAGCTAATTAGACTCATTAAAGCCACAATGGATGAAACTCAGGCATGTGTACGAATACAAAACAACCGGACAGACTTTTTCAAAATCTCGCAGGGACTAAAGCAAGGAGATGGGCTGGCACCAACATTGTTTAACCTGGCACTGGAGTATGCGGTCAGGCAAATGCAAACTGGACGAGAAAACCTACTGACCAATAAAACGGTCCAACTGGCTGCCTACGCCGATGATATTAATATTATGAGTAGAACATCAACAGGAGCACAGGAAGCATACGCAGAGTTAAAAACACAAACGAAAAGGCTAGGTCTGGAAATTAACACAGAAAAAACAAAAATAATGGTACAGACGAGAAGAAATATAATCCCACAAAACATTATACATGAAGATGACATTGAAACGGTTGGAAAGTTTACATACCTGGGAGTAGAAATATATGGCGATGGAGCAGAGGATGGAGAAATACGAAAAAGGATAACGCAGGCAAACAAAGCTTATTTTGCCCTCTTCCATATATTTCGGTCTAAAAGTGTCCACCGAAATACAAAGATGAGAATATATAAAACTTTAATTCGGCCAATAGCATGTTATGGCAGCGAAGCATGGGTCCTGAAAGAAACATCCAAAAACAAACTCGACACATTCGAAAGGAAAGTACTGAGGAGAATACTAGGACCTGTGAGGGAAAACGGAATCTTCAGAATTCGATATAACAACGAGCTCTATCAACTGTATAAGGAAACACCCCTGTCAAACTTCATTAGAATACAAAGATTGCAATGGGCCGGACATGTGATACGAATGGGAGAGGATAGGCTACCAAAACGAGCACTGAACGCCAGAATGCAGGGAAAGAGACCAGTTGGAAAGCCAAGAAAGCGCTGGGAAGACACAGTAAGCAGCGACGCACAAGCACTTTTAGGAGTCCGTGTATGGAGAAGAGCAGCCACAGACAGACAAGGGTGGAGGCAAAAAATAAAGGAGGCCAAGGCTCATTTTGGGCTGTAGTGCCGTAGAAGAAGAAGAACTAAAATATATTTTTTATATATTTGGGTGTCAGATGCAGATGCAGCAACTTAAACTTATGAACTTTAAAATTTTTAGTGGTATGTTTCTGACTTTTTGTAAAAGCAAATAAAGCATATTTCTATTCTATAGGAGCTAAATCTATAAAGTCTATAATCCGACCTGTCATGACATATAGGAACCGCAGACACAAGAACACACACTCACCAAAAAAAGATATTTAAAGACAACGGAAATAAGAATCTTAAAAACAATAACACGAGTAATACTTCTAGACAGAACAAGGAGTAATGAGATTAGAGACATATGCAAAATAAACATTAATTAATACGTGTAACGAAGAAAAAGAGAACAGAACAGTTAGATCAATCAAAAGGCAGAGAAAAAAATAGTTATGATAACCTGAGATCAATAAACCAGGCAATTTGATCATTTAAAAGAATATTAAAAAAAAACTTTCAACTAATGAGCAAAACTTAAATTTTTGACATATCCAGTATAAAGCTGTCATCAGTAATTTAATATTTAAACCTAACTTACCCTGCTTACATTAACAGCATTTTCACCAACTGCCGCATAAACTAAAATAATGATGGCTACGGAGATCATTTTGATTTAATAAAATGAAATGAACTTGATAGACTATTTATAATATTCGACAAGATAACGCAAGTCACAATTCAACATTTTATCTCTATTATAACACCTACCGACTAAAGTTTCTAGGTTTTTATTATCAAACGGGAAATACCGGTGTCACGATACGATTTTGATTGTTTTTATCCATATTGTTTTTACTGTTTCAATCAAATGATTGATGGTTAAAGTAAAACTTGCCAATTTAATCATTAATTTAAGCAAATGTTAATTCTGTAGACCATCTCATAGGTTTCTAGGTTTGGTAGTCGATGAAAAACATACAAGTCAGTAGGTACCTGATAATACCACCCAGATCAGACGCTTTGTCGGTTTGAACGGGTATTATCTCTCTCTTTATTCTCCCATCTCTTATATGTAAGAAAGGGAAAAGAAAGGACAGCCCATATCATGAACTAAAGATGCTGATTCAGCTTTTTATGAAATAAGAAATCTTCTCAATAGTTCTCCTGTTTTTGTTAGTCCTAATTTCTGAAAAAAAAACTATATTGCCTAAGATGAAATGTGACTCTGGAGTTAGGTCAGTTCTGTTTCAAGAAAGAGATGGTTTTAAGCATCCTATTGCTTTTACTAAAACTCTTAAAAAGTGCCAATACAAATATATCATGACTGAAATAGAGCTTTCTCTATTCTTTTATCGATCTAGAAATTTAGAGGGTACATCAAAGATGCAGCTTTTTGTGTAATTTCTAATCACGCTTCGCTTCGGTGGCTTTTCACCATGAAAACCATTACTCTTGTCCACCTAAATGGACAATGAAGCTATCTTCATATAAGTTCGATACAGTGCATCGTATTGGTTCTCTTAAAGTCGTTGCCCTTTTCAGAATTCCAGAAAATGCCCTAGATGTTTTAATTTAAAATTTGTCTAGTGTTTCTAGGGACAATTCGTAGAACACATTAATAAAGAAGCAATTACCCACAGAAATATACTTCTCTGAACGTTAAAGACAAAGTCTTGTACAAGCACGTTAGTTCTCGTTCTAAATTATGTGATTTCTCTCCCGATTGGAAACATTTTGTTTCCTCTCCTTACAAAAAATCTATCCTTCAGATATACAACGACAAAGCTGCAGGAGGTCATTTATGGTTGTCAAAGATTCTTGATAGAATTTGTGAATTCTACTCTTGGCCTAAGTGGTAAGTGAAAGATTTGGACTTCAAGTAAATATAACAAAAACTAAATTTATGATCATCAGCAAAAATAAAGTTAGAGACGCTCAACTACTTATCAATAATACACCAGTGGACTGAGTAAAACAGTATAACTATCTTGGAACAACAGTAAATGAACACAGGAAATAAAATGTAGAATAGAGAAGGCTAGGAGTGCATTCAATAACATGGCCAAACTCTTTAAAAGCCACAATCTTAATCTGGAGATAAAAGTAAGGCTCCTACGATATTAAATCTTCTCAATATTGTATTACGGAGTTGAATCCTGGACACTAACTAAAGCATTGGAAAAAAAAACTTGAAGCCTTCGAGATGTGGCTATACAGGCGAATTCTAAGAATATCATGGACAGACAAGATAACCAACGAGACCGTATTACGAAGAGTGGGCAAAGAAAGAGAGGTGATGTATACCATTAAAAGGAGAAAGTTGGAATATCTCGGACATATAATGAGAAACAGCACTAAATACAGATTACTGAAGGTAATCCTACAGGGTAAAGTATTCAGAAAGCGAGGAATTGGGAGAAGGAGAATATCATGGTTGAAGAACCTGAGGAAATGGTTCTCCACAACAAAAACGAATTTATTTAAAGCAGCAGTTAATAAAATAATTATAGCCAGAATGATTGCCAATATTCGGAACGAATAGGCACTGAAAGAAGAAGAAGACTATTGGCCTAAAATGAGATATTTTGCTTTAATATACATTTGTAAATGGTACGTTTGCGCTTTATTTAAATCATTAAATTTACCCCTAGCAGGTCAGATGAGTAAATACACGCACATTAATTATCCCTTTCAGCTCGTCTCAACTGACCTTCCTACTCTATCTTAGAAGGATAATCGATCTCTTGGTAATTAAAGATTGGTTCACTAAGTTTATCTTAGTTCAACGCATGTCTTCAACGACGTCTGCTGGCATCGTTAAATTTATTGAAAATCAGGTCTTCCTAATCTTTGGTGTCCCGCACAGATTTTTGATGCTGCTCAATTCATATCCAAAAAAAATTTAAGGACCTGATAACACAATACAATGTCCAGAAAATCTGGTACAATGCCAGATATTTTCCCCAGATTAACCCGACTGAAGGGATAAATGAAACTATTGTAACAGCCATTTGCTCTTTGATTCAAGGAAATTACAATAATGAGATAAAGACATCTTTAAAGTAGCCCCAGGCTTACAAAATATGACGTAACCAAATTTTCTGTCCATTTTTAACTTTGGCCAGGAATATTCCAACTGACTTTTGCTTTAACGAAAACATTAAGGACAAGGCGAATGATTCTGTATAAATTAACAATAGCCTTTTCTCGCGCTTGCCTCCTAAAAGCCTCACTCTTATCTTCAATGAAGTCCAGAAAAGAGTTTTTATTCTTACACAACATATAGGAATCGTTATTTCTTGCTGAAAAAGCTTCCTCTACTTATTCCCCTGGAATGAAGGACTGGAAAAGAAATTTTGTCGTGTCGAAAGCTATTGATAATTTTATATCAAAAGTTGCTCACAAATTCGTTCCTTACATTATTGTCTTAGTTATTTCTTCGACCGTTTATGCTCTTAAAGATCTTAAATATATTGACTAAAAGAATTTCTAGGTCAAAGATTAAAAACCTGATGACAGATTTTGAGGACGATGATGATGATTTTTGCCACATTTACACATCTTCATTTACCACATCTTCATTTTAGAATCAATTCTGCCAACTTTTTTTGGTAATAAAATTTTTGAGGTTCGTGAGTTGTATCTTTTAATCGAGCATTTTTTATGATTCTAAATAATGATTATGCGTTTTCTTTAATAATATTTTATCAATATGACTTTAGGCCCTCACCAGATTCTAACCCTTCCATGTTTGGAACTTAGCATATATCAATTAGTTTCCCTTTTTTTCAAAACTCAAATATGATTATACAGTAATACCAGGAGAAAAATTTTGTGTAATTTTATGGCATTTTAAATTAATTCTATTAGTTTTTAGAAAATTATTACCCTTAGGTTGTAAATGCTTCCTGAACTTAAAAGTGCCATATGCATATATGTTTTTTTCAGCGTTAATGAAAATTGAGCCCATTCCCTAGAAATAAAATCTAGGCTAGGAAAAGCAAGATCGGCATTTCAAAAAATGGCTAAGCTATTCAAATGTCACAATTTGTCGGTACCCATAAAAATCTGGTTACGATTGTAGGATCCTAAAGATATCCTATATTGGCTAGGTTATTAACCAGGATGTTTTTATTAAGAAAGCAAAATGGAAAAGAATTGGTAACCACAATAAAAATATTTTTATTAAGAATGCAAAAAGTAAAAGAGATGGTAACCACAATACAGCCAAAGTTGAATACCTCGGTCACATTACGAGGAACAGCGGAAGGTATGAGCTGCTGCAATTAATTCTTCAAGGAAAACTAGAAGGAAAACGAGGACCAGGAAGGCGAAAAATTTCCTGGCTGAAAAATCTACGTACTTGGTTCAACACAATAACCACAAATCTTTTGAGAGCCGCTGTTTGCAAAATACAGATTGCCATGATGGTCGCCAACGTCCGAAAGGGATAGTCACTATAAACAAATTTTGTTAAATACTTTGCGTAATCATGTCTTTTGCTTTAATGGGGAAATTTTTTAATGTGTTTTATCCATTTTCTTACTTATGAACCTTTGATTTTTCACTTACTGTTTGATTTATCTATGTTAATTAGATTGTACTTAATTCTCTGAAAAAGAGTTTTTATTATTCTATCCAATCTAACCACTTGGTACATAGATATCTGTCTAACAGACCTTTTAAGTTAGATATTTGCTTACGAGATCAATGCAACAGAGAAAACACACTCAGTGTTATACCTGTAGATGGGTCTAAAATTTCATAAGGCGGGTACAGGAATCTACAGTATTGCTAGAAATGCAAATATTTATATTTCACTTAAATTCTACTCTAGATAAATATTTATAATAATACCAGTGTTCAAGTAAGGAGATAAAGAAGACCCCAACAAATTTAGAAGTGTAAATCTACTAAACACCACACTTAAGCTTGCCACAAAAGTCCTAACAAAAAAAAAAATTAATAAACTAACAACTTTAACAGATGGAAAACAATGATTCAGATCATGAAGATCCTGCCTAGACGCCGTATTTGTACTAAGACAAATCACTGAAAATGCCATCGAGTACAATAAACCAGCATATCTATGTTTTATAGACCTGACAAAGGCATTCGATAACATCCAAGTCAAAGATGTATTGCACCTACTGTATAAAAGAAACTGTCGCCAAAACCTCAGAGCTCAACGCATCCTAAAAACTCTCTGCTCTACCCGTGGCAATGTATTCACCAGACATCCTAAACCAAAAATCCCACACCTTCCCGCAATTCTACTGGAACTCGCCAGTAACGAACTCCCTGATGAGTACATTGATATACAGGAGGCAACTTCCCTCTATTTCCGTCGCATTCCTAGCTAAATTGCTCACTTCGAGCTTGCCTAGACAGGGGGGGATCGGTTTTCTGCGGTTTCCCGATCCCACTTGCAAATGATACCTGTCTATTGTGAGGATACAGCCGCAGCTGCCCTCTCGCGCCGCGTTATCATATTTTTACATATTTACTAACTACAAATATTAATGCATGTATTTATACATATATTAATATCTCATTTTCCTACACTTATCAATTAATAAATATTAATACATTAATTATTTTAGAAAACAATTCTGAAAAGAACCGACCATAACCTTTCTCCGCTGATTGTCCTGGCTATTCAACCAACAACCACCAGTGGATCAACGAAGACAGAAGAATCAGAAGCCAACCAACAAACAAACAAAAACCACTTCCTGAAGAGGCACTAGCCTAA